TGACAATAACTTGTGTGTAAGTGTATGGATCTTTATGAAATTGTACTACAAGGTTCCATATCACAAAGGGAATGCTGGGATTGATTTTGGGGGAAATTGCCTCCAAATTTTAGGAATAAGGGACCAAAAAGGGGCAAAAAACAAGCATTTTTCTAGTTTCATGACAATAACTTGTGTGTAAGTGTATGGATCTTTATGAAATTGTACTACAAGGTTCCATATCACAAAGGGAAAGCTGGAATTGAGTTTGGGGGTATTTGCCCAAAAAGTTTAGGAATAAGGGGCCAAAAAGGGGCCAAAAATAAGCATTTTTGTTACTTCCAGACAATAACTTGTGTTCAAGTGTATGGATCTCTCTGAAATTGTACTGCAAGGTACCATACCACAAAGGGAAGGCTGGGATTGATTTTGGGGGTAATTCCATAAAAATTTTAGTAATAAGGGGCCATAAAAGGGCAAAAAAACAAGCATTTTTCTAGTTTCAGGACAATAACTTGTGTGTAAGTGTATGGATATTTATGAAATTGTACTGCAAGGTTCCATATCACAAAGGGAAAGCTGGGTTTGAGTTTGGTGGTAATTACCCTAAATGTTTAGGAATTTGTGGCCAAAAAGGGGCAAAAAAATAAGCATTTTTCTAGTTTCCAGACAATAACTTGTGTTAAAGTTTATGGATCTCTCTGAAATTGTACTGCAAGGTACCATACCACAAAGGGAAGGCTGGGATTGAGTTTGGGGGTGATGAATCATAAGGGGGTTCAAAAAATTTGGGGGGGGGGGATTTTTTTTTCCTTTTTTTTTCTTGAAAATTTTCCATTTTAAATTGGTTACTTCTGATTTATATATAAAAGCAAATAATAATGATTTGGTTTGAATAGGTAAATTAAAATTTTTTAAGTTCTTAGACCACTTTCATTCTGTGTCAGAAACCTAGGTATGCTGTGTCAAATATTTTATAAATTCAGTGCTGTATCAAGCTTGAATGTTGTGTCCATACTTGCCCCAACTGTTCAGGGTTCGACCTCTGCGGTCGTATCAAGCTGCGCCACAGCGGAGCATTTTATTATAGTTTGTTCTTATGTTATACTGTTACACCATTGTCCCAGGTTAAGGGGAGGGTTTGCGCGCCTTTTAACTAGTTTAACCCTGCCATATTCTTTTTGTGCCTGTCCCAATTAAGGAGCCTGTAATTCAGTGATTGTCATTTGTTGCTGTATATCATATTTGTTTTTCATTCATTATTTTGTACATAAATCAGGCCGTTAGTTTTCTCGTTTGAATTGTTTTACATTTGTCATTTAGGGGCCTTTTATAGCTGACTATACGGTATGGGTTTTACTCATTGTTGAAGGCCGTACAGTGACCTATAGTTGTTAATTTCTATGTCATTTGGTCTCTTGTGGAGAGTTGTCTCATTGGCAAACACACCACTTCTTCTTATTTTTATATATATACTGAACTTGAATGTACAAATGATCTTCTAAAATATAATGACATATATTCTAACTGTTTTTGGGAACAATCTCTTCTTTTCATTAATTTTAAAGCCCTTGTAATTCATAGATATTTTAAGGGAAAAATGTACTCATGGGAGTTTTTTTTTCATTATATAAAATATATATTTCCATGGGAAAGATTTTTCAAAATTTGTGTTAGTATTTTAAGAATATATATAATTTATATAAAAATAAAAAAAAACTGAATTGAACTTTTACATTGAGAGATATGTCATGTTCATGTCATATGTTATTAGTGTTGAGTTAAATGCCATAAAATGAAAGGTTAAAGTGCTCTCAGGTTGTGGGGTCAATATGTTTTTGCATGTTTACTTTTAATCACATCCTAATACATGTGTAGATGTCCATGTATACATGTTCTAAGAGCTCTTGTTAAGATGTGTTCAGCTTACCAAATAAATGAATAAACAAGTACATTGTACTGAAATGCACACTAAGTAGACTAGTCTGTAGGAGATCTCCACATCTCCAATGTTTTTATATTTCATGTCTCCAGAGCTTTACAAAGAACTGATTCAATATATATGCATGACAATTATTTTTGTGAGTGCATTTTCAAGGACAGTATGCAGTTTTCTTTTCCTCTCATGTCTTAATTTTTTTCTAGTATTTATGTCTCCTAGAGGCATCAAAGTCTGCATTTTTCTTTTCCTATCATGTTTTAACTTTTTCTAGTACTTCATGTCTCCTAAAGGTATCAAAGTCTAGAGAAACAGTAAATTTCCTTAAATTTAAGCTTTTACTTTTCCAAAATTCTTACTGCTTTTAGCATTGGTACACCATCATGATATTTTTTTAAGAAGCATGTTATACATTGTATGCCAACCAGATTTAATTCACATTTTTGTCTGGACCAACTCCAATTAATGATCATATTATTCTGTTTTTGCCTGTGTGTCAACAACATTTTGGTGCAGACTATGATTAAAGTACTGTGAATTCAGAAATTATTACGTGCATTTATTATTGCTGTTTTTGAAGAATGGACAAAAATGCGAGATTAATTATTGTGATTTCAGGAAAATCGCAGCATACAGATATATGTATCATATATCAGAATTGGAGTTCTTATTATTTTAATAATCAGCAAGTCGCATTCTTCAAAATTAATAAAACCGATAATTTCTGAATTTACAGTAATTTTTTTTACATAAACAATTTTTACAAACCTTCTTGAATTTTATGAAACTTGGGACAGAAGATTCAAATTCATCGATCATGATCAGAGACAGCATCCTAAGCAAATTTGATTATCTTTTTCATGTACTTTACTCAAAAAATGGACTTATCAGGGGTAGTTTTCTTTTTACTTTAAGCATTTAGATACAGTCTATGGTTCAAGTTTTTATTTTTTTTAGGTTAAGCATTTAGATACAGTCTAGTGTTAAGTTTTTTTTTCAGTTTAAGCATTTAGATACAGTCTAGGGTAAAGTTTTTTTTCAGTTTTAGCATTTAGATACAGTCTAGAGTTAAAGTTTTTTTTTAGTGATAGCATTAAGATACAGTCTAGGATTAAAGTTTTTTTTCAGTTTTAGCATTTAGATACAGTCTAGGGTTAAAGTTTTTTTTTTAGTTTAAGCATTAAGATACAGTCTAAGTGTTAAAGCTTGTAAAGCATCAATAACCTTTTTCAAACCTTCGGAAACTTGTACAGAGGATTCTTCATAATCAAGAAATAACATCTAGAGCATCAATTTGATTTTTTCTGATTTTCTATATTTTGCTACATAACTTATAGATAGGCATACTTTTTTTTGCAGTCAACATTTGCATGCAGTCTGTGGTTAAAGATTTTAAAAGTTGAATAAATTTGTCAAAGCTTGAAGAAGTTTTACAAAAATTTTACATAAAAGATCTTCTTCATTATTATAAATCAAGAACTAACATCCTGAGCAATTTTTTAAAAAATTCATTTTCTTGTTTTTTACAAAAAGATTGACATAGTCATAATTTTTGCAGTCAACATTATACATTTACACTGAAAACAGCAGTTGGAGTTAAGAGGTAACAGTCCCATTGTTACCCTTGACAATTTTTTTATTAATGTGGGTTACAAACAAAATTTGAGATTTTGGAAGAAAAACAATGAAAGTTATGTTTTACTTGCTGAATACATAGTTGCAAACATTACATAATTACAAAAGACAAATGAAAAAAGTAGTATACGTAACTGCTAGTGGTCCCTTGTTAATTTATGTATCATTGTCATTTTGCTTAGTTTCTTAAGTAACCTTTTCTGACATCGGACTCGGACTTCTTTTAAACTGAGTTTTACTGTGGGTATTGCTGTGTGTTTGTTTATTCTACATTGGCTAGAGGTAAAGGGGGAGGGTTGAGATCTCACAAAACATGTTTAACCCCGCCGCATTTTTGCGCCTGTCCCAAGTCAGGAGATTCTAGCCTCTGTTAGTCTAATGTATGTTTTTTAGTTTTAGTTCATTTATATGTTTTGGAGTTTAGTGTGACGTCCATTTTCATTGAACTAGTACACATTTTGTTTAGGGGCCATGCAGCTGAAGCCCACCTCCGGATGCAGGATTTTCTCGCTGTGTTGAAGATTCATTGGTGGCTGTCAGGTTGTTGTCTCTTTGACACATTCCCCATTTCCATTCTCAATTTTATATATAAAAACATAACTCTAACTGTTTATTACAGCAGAAAAAAAAATTGTTTAATTTATTTGGACCTCCAGAAAAACGCATTATGTGTAAATTAAATAACACACAGTCATAAACTGCTACTAATGTTCTTCATATATGTAATTGAAGCATAAAAAGTGTTTTCTTTTTTTTACTGAATGACAGATCATGAAATAGTAAAAACATACTATTAAAAGTACTGAAGCATAAAAAATGTGTCTTGTCAAGTATCATAAGAATAATTAACCTTCAATGATTTGACACAAAAATTCTAAGACGCAATTTTGATGACCTAGCACCTAGTTAAACCCTTCTGTTTCTCCAGACTTTTTTATGAGTGTATAGAAGTTCTGACCTTGACCTGTTTTTCAAAATATTGGTTAATTATTAGTTTTCAACAACGTCATTAGCTAAAAATGTAATGTTTTCCAGATATTCACATATAAATACAGAATTGGTTTTGTTTATTATTATTCAGTTGTAAATCAAAACTCATATATGTAAAGAATTAATGAATGCAAAATTTGGATGTCTTTTGAAAATCAATACATAGTGTTTTTAAATATGGAAGTCATGTTGAACCTAAGATTCCTTGCTTACTATATATAGATATAAGATCAATATTATTTTTTTCAGTATAATTCTGTCAAGCTGTCTGTCATGACTTTCATTGCTATGTGATTAGGTGCTAGATCTATAATGTTTCTTAATTAAGAAAAACGCTAAGAGGATTGTCTGACTGATAATTATATTTTCTCCAACAAGAATGTGATCAATTTGTAAATTGACTGTCAAAAATAACACATTTTGAAGTAACAATCATCATTTATGCTTTCATTTGAAGCAAAGAAGAAGGCAACAAACTGCTGGAAAAACAAAGGAAGGAACTTGAAGAATATTCATTTACAGCAGGTGAAAACAAAGGAGTGGGAATTCAAAGCTGTAAAGATTCAAAGGTCAGCCAACTAAGCATTGATGTCAGAGCTGATGAAAGTGAAACGTCTGAAGCTGATAAATCAAAGGTGCGAATGTGTGACAAATTAGATATTTTATTGGAAAATATTGTGAACAAAAATTCTTATTCATTTGGATGTGAGACGTTAAGCAGGAAATTTGATTCTGTTGAAGATAAAGTGTTGTCATCGCCATATGTGTGCAGTAATGTAGGAGTAAACTCATTGAAAAGATCTCTACCCTTGGACTTTAATAATGAAAATAGTAATATATTGCATGATATAGAGGTTAAATCTATCAGTCCGAGTTCCAGCCAGAAAGAAAAATTGTTACTAAATAATGAAGTAAGTGCTGACGTTAATTTAACATCATTTCTCAACGATATGGATATGTCAAAATCTCCACCTTTTAATGGACATAGTTTTCAAAACTGTGACAGTAAATTTGTTCCGAAGAGAAAATTCCAATTAAATCATGTAAATGGTGATGTAGAAATGTTAGCAAGGACAACATACGGATCACCTCATAAAAGTAATGGTTGTAGCACAAAGACTTCGTTTGGAAACTCATTTGGCAATAATCATTTACCAAACTTGAATACATTTCATCCATATCATAGGGACATGTTAGCCACAAAAGCATTCCAAGGAACGAATGATTGTGTTCGATCATTTCAAAATGACATACAGTTGCAGCAATTTCATTCCCAAATGATGCCATTATCATTTCCACATACACTCAGTTGTGGAAGTACTCACCAGTCCGCAGGATTGACTTCTTCAAACAGGGTATATTCTTCCAATATGTATCCAATTCCTGATTATTCTAGTGGTAATGTCAGTACTTCATTGACTGGTCCACAATCATACGACAGAGTAATTAATCAATTACTGCCATCAGGCAATAGACCACCCTTTGGTCATGAACTTAACAGGGGACCACAGAAAAGCTACGGGTATCCATATTTTGGGGTAGAGTCTATGGTGAATGAACCACAGTCACAGGGCTATGGTTTATTTGACAAGGAAATTAGCAGAAACAGTTCTGTCCCAAAAACTAACGTGACTAATGTTGATGAGGAGTCATTCGACAAGTTTCCATATGATCCAACGTTGTTTGGAAATAAACCTATCCGGGTAACAGATTATTTGGAATTGGAAGAGGGTAATTCGTATCTTAACTTTGGAAGTCATCCAGGATTCCCACAAGATAAACTGAAATATACAAATTTAGATGCTGCTCAACAGGGAGTCGATGATGGCTCTTCCGATGAAGAAGCCAGGTTGTCAAGAAAATGTAGTGTTACCGGTGGATGGAGTGACGACTCTGACAATTCATCATGTGAGTGTTTAATGTAAAGTCAGAATTTTTTTCAATGTTTTTTAGTTTTTTTTTAAATAAAATTTAAATTGACATTGGATAAGTTTAACAAAATAGAAATTTGTATTTTAAATTTTGCTACCATTATTTTTAAAAAGCATTTTCTGAAATGACATTTATATCAATTGTTCAACAGTTGTTATAAGGAATGCATGAGCACAAACATTTCTATAAATTCACAGTATTCCATGTTAGAGAAGACTTTATTTTATTTGATTTCCATCCATTTATTATATATGTTTTAACGTCAATGTTTGCTTAAAGGGACATTAGCTACGAGATATAAAAAAAAAACATTTGATTTTTTTTTGTTCAATCATTAATGAAAGTGAAATAGTGAAATAATATTTCGCTTTTAGCAGCTAGTTTGGTTCAATTTTGTCAAAATAAGCTAAGAAACATTGCTGATGAATTATTCACTTGCAAGTGAATAATTCGACTTCATTGAATCTGTACTCATGTGACCTTCAATTAAACCCCTTAGCTAGAGATGGGTTACACATAAACTAGGCGTGTTCAGCTATTAAAAGGAAAAGAATGTCAACATTGAAAGTGAAACAACGGTAAAAATTTGGTTGACTGATTGGATCCTCAAAAACTCATTCTTATACTGGTAAAAATGATGATTTTAGCATATTTTTATACGACCGCAAAAAATTTTTTGTGGTAGTATATTGGTATGACGTTGGCGTCGTCGTCGTCCGGCGTCGTCGTCGTCGTCGTCGTCCGGCGTCGTCTGGCGTCGTCCGAAGACACATTGGTTTTCGCACTCTAACTTTAGTTTAAGTGAATGGATCTTTATGAAATTTTACCACAAGGTTCAATACCACAAAAGGAAGGTTGGGATTGATTTTGGGGGTTATGGTAATAACAGTAAAGGAATTAGGGGCCAAAAAGGGGCCAAAAATAAGCATTTTTGTAACTTCCAGACATAACTTGTGTGTTAGTGTATGGATCTCTCTGACATTGTACCACAAGGTTCCATATCACTAAAGGAATGCTGGGATTGATTTTGGGGGTAATTGCCTCCAAATTTTAGGAATTAGGGGCCAAAAAAGGGGCAAAAAACAAGCATTTTTCTAGTTTCATGACAATAACTTGTGTGTAAGTGTATGGATCTTTCTGAAATTGTACTACAAGGTTCCATATCACAAAGGGAAAGCTGGGTTTGAGTTTCGGGGTAATTGCCCTAAACGTTTAGGAATTTGGGGCCAAAAAGGGGCCAAAAAACACATTTTTTTCTAGTTTCCAGACAATAACTTGTGTTCAAGTGTATGGATCTCTCTGAAATTGTACTGCAAGGTACCATACCACAAAGGGAAGGCTGGGATTGAGTTTGGGAGTGATGAATCATAATGGGGGTTCAAAAAATTTTGGGGGGGGATTTATTTTTTTTTCCTTTTTTGTTTCTTTTAAAATTTTCCATTTTAAGTTGGTTATTTCTGATTTATATTTAAAATCAAATAATAATGATATGGTAGGAGATACACACCAAACAGGATGTGTAAATTATTATATAATAAGTATTGTGCAATAGCAAGAAATTTTCAATTGCACAGTATTGCACAATAGCAAGAAATCTTCAATTGCACAGTATTGCGCAATAGCAAGAAATCTTCAATTGCACAGTATTGCGCAATAGCAAGAAATATCCAATAGCACAATATTGCGCAATAGCAAGAAATTGTCAATTGTACAGTATTGCGCAATAGCAAGAAATATTTAATAGCACAGGATTGTGCAAAAGAAGATACATCCTATAAATTGCTTATTTCTTGACCAATTTCAATGGGGTTTTATTCTTGATTTCATGGGGTTCTTTAATATGCTGAATCTAACCGTGTATTTAGTTTTTGGATTTTGGGCCCCGTTTTTAAATTGGTCCACATTGAGGTCCAAAGGGTCCAAAATTAAACTTTGTTTGATTTCATCAAAAATTGAATTATTGGGGTTCTTTGATATGCCGAATCTAACTGTGTATTTAGATTCTTAAATTTTGGTTCCATTTTCAAATTGGTCTACATTAAGGTCCAAAGGGTCCAAAATTAAACTTAGTTTGATTTTAACAAAAATTGAATTCTTAGGGTTCTTTGATATGCTGAATCTAAACATGTATTTAGATTTTTGATTATGGGCCCAGTTTTCAAGTTGGTCCAAATCGGGGTCCAAAATTAAACTTTGTTTGATTTCAACAAAAATTGAATATATGGGGTTCTTTGATATGCTGAATCAAACCATGTATTTAGATTTTTGATTTTTGGGCCCCGTTATCAACTTTGTCCACATTGAGGTCAAAAGGGTCCAAAATTAAACTTTGTTTGATTTCATCAAAAATTGAATTATTGGGGTTCTTTGATATGCCGAATCTAACCGTGTATTTAGATTCTTAATTTTTGGTTCCGTTTTCAAATTGGTCTACATTAAGGTCCAAAGGGTCCAAAATTAAACTTAGTTTGATTTTAACAAAAATTGAATTCTTAGGGTTCTTTGATATGCTGAATCTAAACATGTATTTAGATTTTTGATTATGGGCCCAGTTTTCAAGTTGGTCCAAATCGGGGTCCAAAATTAAACTTTGTTTGATTTCAACAAAAATTGAATATATGGGGTTCTTTGATATGCTGAATCTAACCATGTATTTAGATTTTTGATTTTTGGGCCCCGTTATCAACTTTGTCCACATTGAGGTCAAAAGGGTCCAAAATTAAACTTTGTTTGATTTCATCAAAAATTGAATTATTAGGGTTCTTTGATATGCCGAATCTAACCGTTTATTTAGATTCTTAATTTTTGGTTCCGTTTTCAAATTGGTCTACATTAAGGTCCAAAGGGTCCAAAATTAAACTTAGTTTGATTTTAACAAAAATTGAATTCTTAGGGTTCTTTGATATGCTGAATCTAAACATGTATTTAGATTTTTGATTATGGGCCCAGTTTTCAAGTTGGTCCAAATCGGGGTCCAAAATTAAACTTTGTTTAATTTCAACAAAACTTGAATATATGGGGTTCTTTGATATGCTGAATCTAACCATGTATTTAGATTTTTGATTTTTGGGCCCCGTTATCAACTTTGTCCACATTGAGGTCAAAAGGGTCCAAAATTAAACTTTGTTTGATTTTATCAAAAATTGAATTATTGGGGTTCTTTGATATGCCGAATCTAACCGTGTATTTAGATTCTTAATTTTTGGTTCCGTTTTCAAATTGGTCTACATTAAGGTCCAAAGGGTCCAAAATTAAACTTAGTTTGATTTTAACAAAAATTGAATTCTTAGGGTTCTTTGATATGCTGAATCTAAACATGTATTTAGATTTTTGATTATGGGCCCAGTTTTCAAGTTGGTCCAAATCGGGGTCCAAAATTAAACTTTGTTTGATTTCAACAAAAATTGAATATATGGGGTTCTTTGATATGCTGAATCTAACCATGTATTTAGATTTTTGATTTTTGGGCCCCGTTATCAACTTTGTCCACATTGTGGTCAAAAGGGTCCAAAATTAAACTTTGTTTGATTTCATCAAAAATTGAATTCTTGGGGTTCTTTGATATGCTGAATCTAACCATGTATTTAGATTTTGGATATTGGACCATAATAGGTGAATGTCCAATTTAAAATTTTTAAGTTCTTAGACCACATTCAATCTGTGTTAGAAACCTATGATGTGTCAAATATTTAATCACAATCCAAATCCAAAGCTGTATCAAGCTTGAATGTTGTGTCCATACTTCCCCCAACTGTTCAGGGTTCGACCTCTGCGGTCGTATCAAGCTGCGCCCTGCGGAGCATTTTATTTAACTTATGATAAGAAATCAAATAGACCCAGTAAAATCCAATTGCATGTGTTCACTATCTATTTATATCTATATTTATGTTAATATTGGTTTATATGACTGTCGGCAGTCTTCGGAGGTCACCTAGATGGTTAATTAGATGGTGTCTAGACTTAAATATACACGAAATTCTGATATACATTATCGAGTCCGAGTCCGAGTCCATGCATTGTCAATTTTATTATTTTAGACTTTTTATAATTTGAAATAGGTTTTAGTATGTTATAAATCAAATATGAGAATTGCTGTCAAATTTCTGAACATTAATTTGACAGCTAATGCCCCTTTAAGCTAATCATAACTCTTTTAAAATTTATGCAATGTAAGAAATAATATAGAATCTGTTTTGAATTCTTAGAATTTCATTTTTGAATTTCAAGATTATTCTTCTTTTTACATGTTTTAAGTTATATCATTAAACACCTCTTTCAAAAAAGGTACGAAAAGCTGCTTTATTGACCCTTAATTAAATATTCACTAATTATTTAAAAGGTTGCATTTGAAGACTTTAAATCTGAGCAAGGGTCTTGAAACGGCCATATTTGCCAGTCATATACTGAAACTAAAAGCTATTTGTCCTAAACATGCTAAACCATGTAAACGGCAGATTGGGATTTTGGTCAATTTTATTTTTTTTACAGAAATAGGTTGATGCCATGAATCTAGTATGAATAATTTCGACAGTTTGAAAAAATTTAGGGCCCCAACTTTTAAGTCATCTCAAAATGACTGAAATTGTATGAAATTTTTTCGATTATTGATATTTAGAGATAAGCAAAAACATTTTCCAAAAATATATTTTGCCACATTCATTATGTACATTAGATATTCCGTTCAACATACATTAGATATTCCTTTCAAGGATGCAATGAGAGTCATCTTTCTAGGCTGTTGCTTAATAGTTACATTTACTAAAAGCTACATGAATGTGCATATATATGTTAAGTGTCCATTTGTGTTAAGGAATGACCATGCAACTGGTGTATGTTAAATAGATCTTCTATATTTAGTGACAAAAAAGTGTTAATTATGACCTGTTTGTGGCATCACACTGGCATCATCTATGAAATTTCAGCACTCAGATTCAATTATCACTCTATTGAATTATCAATAATGATCAGTTATATTA